ATTTAAAAAATATTTTAAACACAATGAAATGTCTTATAATCAATAAAAAATTTTATTTTTTAAATCAAAACCTCAAACTAATTTAACTGTAAGTGCTAAGTTGAATACATAAGTTCAAATTCAAAAAATTTTAAATCCTAGAATACTTTTAAATTTATTTAAAACCATTTCATATTTTAAATGTCAACCTAAATGTACAGAATATCATTATAACAATAAAATATCATTTTAACTAATAATAGTATGAGAGAGTGAAACAATCTATAAAAAATAATAGTTAACAATCACTGAATAACAGTTTACAAAAATATTTTATAATATTGAGTAAGTAAGTATAATATAATAATTGAGTAAAGATTCAAAATCAATAACAAAATATTTGCTGTTATTTCATTTAAATGACATAATGCCAATGGTTCGATATGTAGGCATAGCTTTTAATAGATTATATAATAAAATAAAATAAATGCAAGCTAAAAATTTATAGGTTTTGAATATTGATAAATATACTTTATTATATGTAAAGTTAAAACATTGTGTTATCATGTTTAATAAATAAAGCAAATTTATAAGTATAACAAACATTGTGAAGCCCAATATGTATATAGTATATCACCAAATAATTGCCTAAATAATCAGGCTATAACTCCACTAATTTAATAATTAATATTAAGTAATTTGCTACTATAGGTAGACATTAGGTGCCATCTCTTAACTAAATTAATAATTAAAATTTTTAATAATTTATTAAATAATTTACCTCTATAAATGTCCACCTCTAGTAGCAAATTACTTAACATTAATTATTAAATTAGTGGAGTTATAGCTTGATTATTTAGGCAATCGTTTGGTGATGTTTCTAAAGCAAATTTAATTTATATACTTGTATATATATAAAAATATTAAGCAGAATTCATTATTATTGTTTTTCCACATTATGAAGATAACTGTTAAAAAAAATAGTTAATATATCCACTTAATTAAATTTAATTTTATACCTCACAAGCAATTACAGAATCAGCTCCACAATGAACAGCCATTAAAGATAGTAAACCAGTTCCAGTTCCAATATCTAATACTTTAGCAGATTTTCCATGTTTCTTCATTGTTTCAATAGCAATTCTTATAGCAGAGTAGTATTTTTGATTCTGTCACAAGAGCAGAGATAGTTTATTTTTATAATTAATACGACACTTCAAAATAATCGAGATAAGAATTTTTTTATACATACCCTTTCTTTATCATGTAACATATCTGCATAAGATGATCTGAAATTATAAAATTCAATATATTTTTTTAAAAATTATAAATTATTTCATATAGAATTAAATAATTTTAATTTAAATTTTTAATTACTATAACTTTTAATTAAAATTAAAAGTTATGAAATATCAAAATACACATGTAATTGAAGCTTTGATTTAGTACACGAACAATACTGTATAACAAACTATAACAATTCAAAGAATTTGGTAAAGCCATACAATACTTAATTTATATAATGCAAAGAAATCAAGATTATAAAATTTATCAAAAAAGTTATTTGCAATGCTTTTATATTTGATATTTTAAATTTAAATAATACTATAAGATAATATCTACACCGTATTTGTTTCATATAGAAAGTATACACTTTAGTGTCAATTTGCAATAATCTTTTCAGTTTTACAATGAAGTTTAATGTCAATATAATATAATTTTTAAAGTGTGCATTATCTCAACCAAACAAGCCTCTAATTTAATTTTATCCTGTGTATAGTTCTAAAATTCAAGTTTGAAATGATAATTTCTACATTTAAATCTTTTGTTATTAGACTTGCATAATTAAATATAAAATTAAATTTTAAATCAATATTTTCTATAATTTTATTCAACTCTTTTAATTAATCAATTATCTTAATAATTCAATATTTAATTAAATCAATATTTCATTTTGTATTATTTAAAACATTCACAAAAGCTAAAACTGATGCATAGTAGCCAAGAATGAAAAAATGTTGCATCTAAAATATATTTATATTTTAAAGCATAGTCACTATAAAAAAACTATATGTTTAAACTATTCTATTTCAATATAGTGTTTAATAGAAATGAATATATTTTTATTAGAGTACTATAATAGTAATTATTATTAATCCAACTAATCATACATTTAAAGTTTTTCATGATCATATTTCGCATCAATTTATCAAAGTACCGATGCTCTTTATTTCAAATACAATGAAAAATAAGTAATCAGGAAGCCAATCAGGAAACAATCGGAAAGAATAAGTTATTTAAATTTAAATTAAAAGAAAATTATAATAATCAGAAATTACTTTATGTTTTGTACTGTAATGGTTCTCAAACTGTGGTCCTAAAAATGAAGCAGTTTCAGGGGAATGCAAAGGGGTCACTTCAGGCAAAGCAGATGCAGCCATCCATTGAATGTACTGTACATTTGATGACTAAGATTTGCCATTTTCTGAATACATAATTGTTTGTCAAAAAATGTTTTGGTAACAGTAGCCTATATGTTAATTTAGTTCTTTTTAAAGGGTTCGCGAGCAATCTAAAAAATTGTAAAGAGACAGTCACACAAGAAATCCTAAAAAAGTTTGAGAACCACTATTTTAGAGTTTAAATAACAAATGGATTTTTGTATTTATAATGATTCATTAATTTCAAAATAAATTTATGACAAATCAAAAAAATGTATTCATATTGGAAAATTTCAAAATAATTTTATCTTTAATTCAACGATTTTTGTTAATCATATTTGAAATCATATATGGTATCAAAATACATTTGGTTTATTTTCTAAATTTAAATAATTTCCAAAAAAATGATAGTCATACAACACGATATTGTCAAACATATTTCCTAGAACATATTCAAACCAGTATCAAATCGTTTGCATAACTAAATATATAGAAATAAACCTTCTAAATATAATTAAATTGAAAAAAATTATTTTCTTTAACAGAAATCCTGCTTTTTCATCTCTCAATCTCCATAATATCACGTCAAATCTTTATTAAGAATCATCTCAATATTTTTTAATTTAAAATCTGATTCATCATATAGAAATGTTACAACTTTTTTTGAATTGTTTTTGAGCTGTGATTTACAACTTATGAAATCAAAATCTGAAAAAAAAAAAAAAAAATTAAATAATACTCCATGATGATTAATAATTCAGCTAATTTAGAAAAAGCAATCATAAAATTTTATTAACAGAATATAACGTTTGAAAATAAATAAAATATCCTATATATTAAAGTAGAATATGCAAGTAAATTCTCTTGTAAACTAGAAAATATAAATTATTTTTTACAATGCTGGTTATTTAAATTTACTTCAAGCAAATTGAGAACCACGTGACTTTTGAAGCTATATGATATCAAAGATACATTAAGCTAATAAATTACAAAAAAAGATTTATATCTGTTTAATCTTCGAGAATAATCAGAGAACATAGACAAAAGTAAACCTTGCAATTTCTTGAATATAATCATAGTTTTCCTCCTGCATCAACCACTCGTTACTTCCTGTCATAGGATTAAATTTTGAAGAAAATACGTTCATTCTTGTCATAGTCGTCCAACCGACCACGTTTGATAATTCAGACAATTTATTTTGCAATAATTTCGTTCTCAGTAATTTTTTACTAGTTGCAACGAGTACCATGTGTAGACACAAGTTAAAGCGCCCACTGGTGGTTCAAAATATATAATAAATTACTAATTTAAATTTTTATTAATTTTTTTTTATCGATATCGATAATAATATTACTTTTGAGTATAAAATAAAATCTTTTAAATATTATACTTTAATAGTAAATTTTATAAATGATGTAATTTTGAAGTTGTTGAAATTCGATCACCTTTAGTGTTTTCTTCCAAACCTGCTTTGTAAGATTTTTTTTTTCNTAATTAATTTTTAATTTAGAATTGGTAATTAAATTTAATGCAAGATAGCAGCATAACTGTCTACCTCTAGTGAAATTAATTAATTTCTAATATTTAATTATAGCCTTTACATAGCCCAAGAATTTGGCATATCGTTTGGCATGTTTATTATATAATGGGCTATGATTGTTAATGTTTATACGTAATGTGTGTGATCACACATTTGGAAAAATGTGTGATTACAAGCGACACTAAGATGCTAGCAGAATGAGTGCTAAACACAGACTGATGGAGCATGCACACAATCCAGGACTTCCCCTCTCCTGATCACTCATTACATGAAATGTTGCTCTTAAGTGAGTCATTTTTTCACATTTTGCTTTGCTCATTACGCAAGGTGCTTGTTAAGCGAGATTCCACTATATATGATTATATAATTTAAATTAATATATTGAAAATGAAGATCAAATGGAAGTATGGGTAATGTGTATATATTAACATCCCAAAGCCTGGTGTATTGGTACTAATCCAAATGCTCACCGTAATTAATCAGACTATTGTGCTATAATTAATAATTAAAAACTAAGTAATTTGGTACTAGAGTTAGACATTAGATGCCATCTTTTATCTAAATTAATAATTATAATAATTTATTAAATAATTTAGAACATTCTGGAAGAAAAGAACTAGCCCAGAGCGGGACTTGAACTTACAACTACAGCTTACCATGCAGTGCCTTGCCACTTATGCCCCAAGCAAGTCTTTGCTTCCAGATGTATTTAAATTTAGATGTAACTGATTACTTATGGTGCCAGCTGGGACTGACTCCTACATCCATAGCCTATGTACTCCATCATGGCACACAGCCGGCTATCACTTTACCCGACATGGTATATATGTATATGTTACTGTGAATGACCGATATCTGGCAAATGTCAACATTCTCCGGTGAATGTCAGCATTCACACACAGTCATTTCGTGTATGTACGAAATATTTGCTAAATATCATTATTTCTCACTTACACAGGCAAATGTCAACATTCAGCATGCACTGATGATGAATGTTGAATAAAAATATTTTTATTACGTTTTAAGACAAAAATGCAACTTTTTAATATGTCAAAATAGGAGAAAGCTTAACAGTACATGTAAATAAACTGTTAAACCTAAAACGACCAGTACATCCTAAATCATTAAAGAAAATAATACAATAATAAACTTACACATAATCTATGTGATTAACGTTATACAATCTTATTTATTGCAACAACATAGTGTATTTTTAAAAAATACACTGTGGCTACCAAGATAAATAAAAGGAGGAAAAAAATTTTTTACCACAACAACTATTTCCTAAATTAAGAAATATAACATTAATTCTAGCAAAAATCAAAATTTCAAAATAAAAATTTTTTACTAATTTAATATTATTTCTGAAAAAGTAAAAAAAAAAATATTTAATTCAACACCTAATAAATATACTTCCTATCTTATTTTCTAAGAATTGTATAATAAAACTGTGAGATCAGCCGGGGTTACGGAGTAAGTAGAACTCTTGTAACACTTAATCGGCACTATTCTGTGAGAATAGTTCTCCGAGTTTCGAATCGAGAGATCCGATCTTAAAAGTTCTTATAGGAGGGCTGTAATATTCAGCTTTATGAGGATTAAAGACTGTGTAGTCTCTATCCTAATTGTCAGGTCCCGACACCAGTTAATCAATCTTATTATACGCGGATTAACAAGCGTATNAAGAATTAAAAAAAAATCTAGAATAAACTCATAATAATGATACCGAAAGGAAAATTTAAGTCTAATTTTATTTATATTCTATATTTTATAGTAACATTTTTGTCAATGTACAAATAATAAAAACACAGATAAAATATTATAAGTTAGAAAAACGAATAAAAAAGAAAGTAAATTAATTTTCATACAGAAATCTTCAGATGAATTTTTATATGAAATTTGTTTTAATGATCTTATTCAAAAGTTTCGATAACATTTTAGCGCTCTTCAACTGGAATTCTCAAATTTACTCAAAGGTTTAATGGTCCTCAGACGAGACATTGAGGATTATTAAATGTTTCGGCATAAAGCATGCAAACTAAATCGAAAAAAAAATCTTCAGACTTTGCATTGAATTACTAAATCAGTTTAAAAGTAAACTCTCTCAAATAAGGAAAAACTACTTTTTTATTTTGCATTCTTAAGTTAAGAGGATAAAAAATTATCTGGGAAATAAACATCAACAAAAAATATTTGATTTTTTTTTTATTAATTAAAATCTATAAAATATTCGATAATCCTATTAAATGTAGAATGTTTATAGTATCCAAAACGTTAAATCATGTAGAATATTTTATGGATATAAAAAGTTTTCCTTTTAAATAGTTAGAAATCAAAGGTAATAAAAAGGAATAATTTTGGAAATAATAATTATTAAATAAAAATATTTGCACCAAACTTTTAATTTTTAGTAATCTGTATATTGTAGTAGCGTAACTAGAACTGATAATGGGGAGAAACGTGCAAATCTACATTCGTACAGCCACTAGTGCTGTACAGGAAAAGTAAACAAAATTTTAATATCGTATATACTCGTACACGTGTATAAGTGCGTTTGTCATATTCAAATATTTTTCCTGTACTTATTTGATTTTTTTCTTCATTTATTCATTTATTTACTAAGATAAGGGGGACCAGAGAGCCCTGGTCTACTGATACATTGATCCCTTATCATAATAACAACATACTATTGTTATATTCTTGGCTCGTAACTATATTCTTATAACTGAATTTTTCCTTTTTCTTTACAGTCAATTCTTTTCCTAATATTAATATTGAAAAGAAAAGGAAATAATTATTTTGAAAAGACCAAACTCATTTTAATGATAAAAAAAATTTTATATTCTTATGTATAGTAATAATTTATTTTATATAATCAAAGTATATCATTTACAATGTTTAATTTATTGTTTTTTCCGGGTTATGAATGAGAATTAGTTATTACTCATTTATTTTTATAGTCTAATTTTAGTTCAGAACGATAAAAATCTCATTTATTTTAAGAAATTAAATGATTAAATCAGGTATTACAATGATAAACAATATTTATTCTCACGATTATTTTCGCAGGATGGATGCACTTGACTGATTATATAACGACGAATTAGTAATAACATAACTGAATATATCATGCATTGCCTATATATATATACATATATATCATTTGAAATTACGATATCTTCTACTGTACTGTTTGCATTGTGTTAATTATTCACTTTTCACTTTTTCGTAATTTTTCATTTGAAAGTCAAAGTGTCTAAAGTACCTAATTATAATCAAGTATGTCAGTGATGGCGAATCTTTTCTCCGAGGTGGTTAAAATTCAATTCGAAACTTAGTAATTCCAAACAGAAAAGTAATCTACAACAGAAAAATAAAAATAAAGTAAAACAATTTGATTACAACGGAAACAAATATTTCATTTAATGGATAATCTGTTATTGTTTATGATAATTTTTCCAGGGTAGGCTTTGGAGAAATTTCATAAACATTAGGATCCTACTTACACACTACATATAAGTTACAAAGTTTTGAAATATTTCAAATGACTATTATTTTATAATATATAAACTAATATTTTCTAATCATTCAACGCGGGTACCTTGAAATCGTCTCGCGGGTCATTGATTCGCCATCTCAGATAGTGACTTGATCTAATTTTTTTTCGTAATTTTAAAGTAAAACATATTAAGGTTTTATTTGATGAGGTTTTATAATATCAAATTAAATTTTTAATGTTATGGAAGTATATTTCTAGAGTACTAAACATCCTTTTAAATTAAAACAATTGCTCCTATTATCTATTTAGTAATTTCATTGATTTTACATATCCTTCTGTTCAGATTTTATCTGGATTGTGACACCATTGGCTTTCCACAGAAACAATCAACTTTTATATATTATTATTCATGTAATTTTAATGGGAGAAAACTTAAAAAATCAACAGTATCAATTATTTTTCAATATCTCATTATTTTTTTAGACGAAAAGTCTAAGAGAAAATTTTCCTTATTGAAAGATAAGAAGAGAATAGTTGACATGTTAATTCGTTTTTTAAACTTTAAGAAAATATTCGTAAATTATGAATGTCAATAAGTATCTATTTTTAATATTTTGAAAGTTCAATTAAGTTCAAATACGTTTATTCATAAATGATATAAAGAATAAATATTATCAGATTTTAATGCAAATATTAGTGATGAAAATTGAATGAAGCTATTGAAAATAACCTTATTAATCATCATTTAGAATTAATGGCATTTTTATAAAATATTTCTGTATATTTTCATACCAGTTTTTTAAATTCTTTTAAAAGTCATTTGTAATTTTTAAAAGCATCGCTTTTACACACGACTAACCAACAACGACGATTAATAATTGGTTTAGACTCTAGACTGTAAGAAGTAGACTATTGTTTAAGTTTAAAAAAAAACTCATTAATTAAACCCTTCGACAAGTGCTATCTTCTAAATTCATCGTCAAATTATTTTAAATTTTATAAATAGATTCATTCTATAAATTTATTTCGGTTATTACTTTTAAGTTTCTTCGAGTCGATGTTTTACTGCGGACTTTGATCTTTTTAACTAACTTTTTCTCATCTAAACGTGATTATACTTGGTATCAAAATAGAGCAATCTATGTCCGATTCTGAAAAAGGTCATTAAGGAAGAGTTAAATTTATTTCTTGGTCGTGATAAAACTCACGTTATAAAATATATTT